TTTTCAAACATAGATTTAGAAAAGAGAAGCAAATCCATTTTTACTGTTCAGGGAAAAAAAAAAGACAAGACAAGACTGATTGTGGAGGTGGCCACTGTCTGTTTACCTGTAGTGTGGATGCTGGGGCTACCATGGAGAGGGCCTCCCCACGACCACCGGTTATGCTTCTGTTTTGGTTTCTGGCTTCTTTCCATTGTACGCCGTACAACAGCTTCATGGCGCTCCTTAAATGGAATGAAGGAAATGATTAGATTCACCTGGTCGTTTGATGCTTCTTCCACTTATATCAGAGTAGAGTGAGGGGTACTACTTAGTTTTCCATCTGCTACTCCTTATCTGTTTTCTAACTTCTACACCTTGTCTTCAGGTGGGAATAATATATCAATCTGGGAGGGTAACCAAAACCATGACAACTCAGCGCACAAAGGTCTTGGTTTACAGCAGGCACTTGAATAAATTATTTTTACTATGGTAGTGATACTTTCATCAATACACATATGAACAATAGTATAGGTCTTGGCTTAAGCCAATGTTTAACACATATGGCACATATTTAAAATGGAGTTATGAATTTAAGGACATAGGTAATCCTGATCCCATTATTTACTGATTTTGTGTAACTTACTTGTGACTCTAAATTTATGTTTTTGAAAAAAACTGATATACATAATAGTTACTTAAGGATTAGAAAAAGGTGAAATGAGATAATCTGTATAATAACATTTGTAAGTGGTAAACCCTTGGAGTGGTCTTTTTTTTTTTTTTAAGAATTACGTTACTTAATTTCATTTATTTATTCATTCATTTTAATTTGACCAGAGAGGGACAAAGCAGGAGAGAGAGAGAGGAAAAGTGAGAAAGCAAGTCGCCAGGTCTGGGACTCAAACCATGGTCGGCCACACTGGCGTCCAGTGCCCTCAACCACTACGCCACCTGCCAGCCCCTGGAGTGGTCTTAATACTTTAGCATAGATGAAATAAACATTAAGAAGTTTTAGACCAGAGAAATAGGCTTCTAAAATTCTGTAATAATAATTGGTCCATTTGTGACTGATTTCTAAGGAGCCCGATCTCCCTAGAAACTGCAGCTATTTGCAAGGATTGCATCCTGACCGCTAGATGAACAGCCTCATGGGTCTGTGGCATTTCTGAAATAGAGAACCTTCCGTACGTTTGGAGGAGGGCGGCTCACCTTGTCCTCCTCTAGCCTCTGCCTTCGTTTCTCCTCAACGGCAGCCCTCCTCCGCTCCTCC